TCCAACTGAATATGCACTGGTTCTTGAATAAGTACTCCCAGTTGTCTGCTGATCTCTTGCAACTTACACGAATATACTTGTGCACGCTCCGCATCAACTTTAGAATATACTAACAACCAAAAATTGATATCAACCTTATCACAAAAACAGAATAAGTTATCTTTTGCAAATTAGACATTGTACAACATACCGGTTTCGAGAATTGTCTCGAACCATAATCATTATCATTATCTCGATCAATATCATCATCGTCTTCTGTTGTTGACAGATGCTTCTTTTGGAAATCATTCGTATCGTCACACTCTGATCGATGATTCTGTAGATAAATAGATAGTATACTAGAATAGTGCCGATTGTATCATCTTCTCAATGTACATACCGTTCTTGAATTCAAACGAGTTGTTAAATTTAAAGCGGGTTTTGTTTGTGAACGATTTACAATTGGTTTACTAGATCGTTGAGAGTCCTGTTCAGGAAGTACAATTCCCCATTGCTTCAAGTATTTAATCGTTGACGAATTTCTTTTCAACATATCAGTAAAATGTAGTAATTCAGAACGTCTTGCAACTGAATCCAAACTTCTAGATGTTTTTTGAGCCTGCACTTACCATAAAAAAAGACTGTTTAAAGTTTCATACAAGAAAAGTGTACATCATATTTACTTGTGAATCTTGATGTGATTTATCTGTTAGATCAGTTAAATAACATAACTCCGGAACGAGATAATTTGGTTCAGAAGCCTAGTGAAGAAAAAAGTATTTTTAATGAAACGTTCAGATAAATCAACATCATATACTTACAAATCTTTCACCTGGACGTCGAGGACAATAAATGAGTAACGGTTGATTCAAATCGGTTATAACAATATCAAACTTTTTCCTTTAAAAAAATATACATGACACTTTGTTCCGAAAGCCAACTCGGACATTGTGTCAGACTGACACGTACTCAAAATAGTCTTGTATTGTAACTTGTTCATCTTCTGAAATTGTGATTTTTGTATTTAGAGGTGTTGAATCCCAATAAATATCATCAATTCGTTGTGTTTTATTATCGTATCGTGTTAATACAAGTCTATTAACAAATTGCTGTCGAATCATATCGCGATCATCAGTAACATCATATACCATATATAAACGTTCTCTAAAAATACAAACAACAATTACAATGCTTTGATTTCGAAGAAGTCTTTGAAGTAACTGTAAAACCAATCTTTCTACTTTAATATCGTGCAGCTTAACTTCTGTCTGGTGCAACATTATTATCAAATAAAGAAAACATTACAGACATATAAGGATGGCCTGATGTAAAAATAACATTTGACATAAATAAACTCCTTCCTTTTAGAGACATTTTATCTGGTAAAATGTCTCAGCACTAAATGCTAATGTATACATAAACAATTGGAGCACTATGAAGCTATGTTTATGTGGCGCTACGGAAACTGTACATTATTACTTGATTTATTGTGTATTGTATCGATCGTATTAAAATAATCTTCAGCAAAAAATATCAGATTTGGAATCTGCCGTAACTCATAAGTACTGGATCACTACTATTCAAAATTCATCTTCCCAGTGTTGTCATTGAATATATTCAGTTGACTAAAAGATTTACGACCTAACAATTGCACTGTACTCTGAAATATACTAGTTCTCTCATTCATCTTTATTTATTATGTTTTTAAAATAGATTCTTTTCACGTATGTCCCAAAATAGAAAGTTCGACAACAGTTATGAACTTTAGAACCTCTTCATCACTTACTTCTTTTATTTATTTGTTTAACTATCGATCTATGTGTTCTTCTTCATCCCTTTCCATTTTATGCTTTATCCTTTCATTATTCTCTATTATCTCAGACAAAACAATGATAATGGGGCTCTAGCTCACTCTTGTCCTGTCGCAGTGCTGTATTGTAATAAAAATTGAAAAAAATTCTAGAAACAATCCCATCCTTCCCATTTATATAGGTATTTCAGCCTCATTCTGCTAAGACCTACTTACAGTTCTTCATAACATGTTATTGTTGTGTTTGTTGCAAAATCGACATACATTGATAAACCATCTTTTTCGCGTTCGATCGATACGAATTTTCCTTCAAATGGGTGAAGTCTACATGAAAAAACACAGTATAACTTTATGTATGCATGTTTTATTCTTGATGTAGAGTAGCGAAGAGAAGGTTATAAAGTATACCTATATCTTAATAATTGGGCGCTTTTGTTTTTATCATAATAACGTCGATTATTACGAACAAAATCAAGACCATCATTGACGGCACTTAAACAGAAAAATGAACTAAACTTGAAATAGAATAAAAATGATTTTGAAATATTTACGATTTGAATATGATATTAACCAAATCAATCGGCATCTGATCAATTGAAAGTATTTCCATCAAACGTATTGCAATCTCATCGGGACCATCAGTATCTGTGTCGGATGTCTTTTTGAATGCCATTTCCTATATCAGATGAGAAATATGTTTGCTTCTTGAATAAACTAGTTAAAATTAACCTACATCTTTCTGCAGACGTTGTGGTAAATAAATAAATGACCCATCGTACAATAATTGAGGACCAATATATTGACGAAGTTCACTTACATAATTAAATCGGCTTGTACGACTTTCTATATGCGGCATAAACTCAATTTCATATTTGTATATCATACCAATCTGACAACGAATAAATATTTTATTTGATGATAGTACACTACTAGAAAGGTATAACAACATGTTTCTTTGTACATTTTCCGAAGGTGAGGATGAGAATACGTACGTATCAACCAGTTGCTCTTTCAATTGTTTCGTCGGCGATTCTGATAGTAACGTTGGCTTTGAGTTTTCATCAAAATCTTTCTCTGTATTAGTTTGTTCTCGAACAGACGAACTAGAACAAATACATGGTTTTAATGGCTAAATTCAAACACCATTACCCTTCAAAACAAACCGTAGTTGTGCGAAAACGTGGGCAGCGCGACCTCGACCGACGTGAAATGTATCATTCGTTCGCATTATACTAGGCTCAGGTGGACAAACGTATGTAGATGCCTATGATCAAGAAAAACGGTTTATGAAAACGATTCCACAAAAAAATGATACAAGTTGCTTTCATTAGACACACATACCAGAGGTTTAACTGCTTGCAAAATTTGCTCGAGAGCACGTCCACGACCACCATGTCCAGTCATGTTGTTGTTGAACAGAGAAAGAAAATGATTAGTCTAACGTAAAAAATCTAAGATGCGTTCATAACTAGAAAAAACCACGGTATAAAGAGAAATAATCGACTTTTAGTCAATAACAAATAAACTACAAAAGGAGTTTACTTGTTGTGATGATAATATGAACAAAGATCTATCAAGGCACAGGGATAGAACAGTTTAGCATTATTTTCTACTGGCATCTCGTTGAGATAGAGTGCATGTGTCTCAGGGGGGGAAAGCGCTTTTTTTTTGTTATAAGACCTCAGTACCTTTTCGGAGTGTCAGCACCGTAATCGGCACTAGGTGCTGCTTTCCTCCCCTTGATATGTCTTCATGTATATAAAAAGTGTATATCCATTTTAAGCACAGCATGAAAAGTAGAACAAGATTTTAACGGATGAGGCAAAATAAATTACGATCTCAGTATTGTTTATATGGGGTTCATTACACAGCTAAGATTCGATTTCTTTCGTTGAATTTAATGTTTAACTTTGTACAAAAAGCGTACTGTGTGGTTTATTACATAATTTAAAAGTGGACCATTATTTCGAATATACTTCGAAGTCCCAAAATAGGACTAAGTCTAAGAGAGTAAGACTGTTTTATTCACGAAAAAGTCCAGAAGATGTCTTAGGCAGGTCTCCAGCGAGCGCCGACCGAAGGAAGGGGTGAGGATTGTTTTGAATTCATAAATACGTTTAGACCTCTACAGATTTTTGATTTATATATTTATATCAGATTACGAACCTTATGCATAAAAAAAGAAAAGAAAGATCCAGAAGATGCCTTAGTTAGGACCTAGCGAGCGCCGACCGAAGGGAGGCGTGAGCATTATGCTCGATTTATAAGTCACCAAAGGGCGTTCGCTAGCGCAGATCCAACTTAACAAAGTCAAGGGACCGAGCGAGTGGAGACGAGCGTTACCTTGTTTTCATTATTTCTATAGAAAGCTATTGTATAGAATAGGTCGTCTTTTTTACGGGTTTTTGGTTGGCGGTTCAACGTGATATGTTGTTTTATTGGCTAATGAAATGCAACAGTCAAGAGAGGGAGTAAAACACAATGATAACTGTCTTTTAGAATAGCCTAAAACACAATGATAACTGTCTTTTAGAATAGCCTAAAACACAATGATAACTGTCTTTTAGAATAGCCTAAAACACAATGATAGCTGTATAGGTTGTACTATAGCGAACTGGAGCACTAAGGTATCAGCTCTTTACTACTTTCTTTGATTTTGCCATTTACATAAAGAAATAATTGAAATCCTTTTTTTTTCTTATCAGTTCGGTGATGAAAGTTCCTCTATTTAGAATTGTTTCATATTACAATTGATTTGATTTTTTCTTTTTATCCTGTTTATTGAAAATAATCTAGTAGGATAATATTGTTTTTTTTTGTTTTTTACAAAGATGAACGAAGATCTATCAAAGTATTGAATATGCTTGAAGAGAATATTTCATTATTTTACTTCAATTAAATTCTCAGTCGTTAAAATAAAAATTTCATTTAATCAATTGTTTTTCGTCACACTCTCACCGACTTTCATGAAATAGTTGTTGAATGAAACATTCAATATAAACACCTCCTTTCCGAAAGAACATCAGTAACGTGAAATAAGTAACTGACAAATATTTAAACAGATCAGACCATTTATTAAATAGCTATTTAAGAAAATATTGTGAACTTAGAACTAAGCAAATTGGTCAAGATGTTTTTCTTTGTTACTGTTTAAAACTTTTTATACAGAAAAAAAAGATTGTATCTCTTTTGAGAAAGAGTCATAAGCATTGAATAATGACTGCAACCAACGTCTTGGTTCATTTTGTCTTCGTATTCTAAGAATAGATGATAAAGTGATTGAAAAATTAAAACAAATGATCGATTCGAAAAAACTATTTTTTCAATGTACACGTGAATATGTACTACAAAAGTCCCAAGGGTGCACACTTAAGTGAGGTTTTACTGTATTTAGTTGAAAGTTTCATTTTTCTCGTAGTCATTATTTTTGATGATACCGTACTTCATATTAAAAATAACTTTAGAAATTATATTTAGATTTTTTTCTAGTTCGATATTATCAGTATGTAGTCCTAACAAAAAGTATAACAATTTATCTTCAATTAGAGAAGTTATTTGATTAGATGTATTGATAGATGACCTTTACGCTTCTTTTCTTTCTATATACAGTAAAACTTCTCTTATTAAACACCCCTCCTAAGTGATCAATCTGTTATACTGAACACCCTACGGTTCCACCGAGCGAATTTTGTTGAATTTGACCCCCTCCTAAATGATCACCTCGTGATTCTGAATGTGAACGCACTTTTTCGGTTCCCACCATGTAAAGTAACCTCTATAATATGAACAGCGACATATGGCGCCATTAGGACTAAGACTAACTAAGACTAAGATTGTTTATTCACGAAAGGTGAGAGTCATCAAAGGTCACCGACCTGTAATAACAATGACTCAAGCCAAACAACACCAAAATAGTAATAAAAGAAATAACAAAATAATGAAGACAACTAAGATTAGAAAGTAAAAGAAAACAAAAAGTTTTTGAAAAAAAACAAAAAACATGCAGAAACAACAACCATAAATGCTTAACTGACAAGCGTTTCTCTGGAAGAGATACTGAAGTAAGGCTGCTTTGAAAGACATGAAAGAAGAACGACAAATAACTGACTCTGGAAGATTATTCCAATCAGTAATAGTTGACTAAAAAAATGAAGAATGCACCGTTTGTGGAGAAAAATCATCAACAGAAGGTGGAAGACGAACGTATTTAGAGTGATGAAGACGTAAAGATGAGTAGTGAGGACGATGAATAGTTTAAAAGAGAGAAACAGGGCTTAGACG